TGGGTTTCTTTTGACTCAATTGTGAAAGACTCCACGGCCTTCGTGGGATTCGAACTCACGACAGTAAGGGCACGGCTTGAACACAGTCAACGCTCTAACCAACTCGATTGCGAGACCCCACCAAGAACCGTAAATTTAATCACCCTTGAGCCAAGTTACCCACCCAGCCTACTGCGACGTACGAAATCCACCAATTTCGATACAGTAAGCTGACTAATCAAGCAGGAATTCCTGAGTAATTAATCTAGAATCCACCGGATGACTAAAAGACTCACAACAGCACAATGTAAAAAGTGAGCTCAGATTAAACTGACGGCTCCCGGTGAGGCCTCGTAGGACAAGTGGTTAGAGCGTTGGCTGTACTCAGGTCTTGCACTCCGTTATCTTGTTAACTACCCCATCCCGCAGTTCGATTCTTCGCCCACCGAGTAACGCAGGATTCGAACACTATGGATACTATACTGAAGATTGTATACAGCGGGGTTTAGTTTGGCGAAACTGATCCGGTCATAGTGCGCATGTGGGCTAGACAGTTCAAATTTCGGTATAGACGTCAAGAGATCCTGTTCGCCGTACGTTACCTATACAATTGAGACAATATCCCTCTAGTCGTGATGGTTCTGCGGTGCATGCGGAGCGCAATAACGGTATGACGCTGGGTCAAGTGATTAACGCGGTTGGTGAAGCAGCACACGTAACAAGAGCCCTAGACTAAGGAGGGCAGAAACTTGCCGCGGGCTATAAAACGAACGCTATCGAAAAACGACCCTACGCCCACTCACTCCTTCATACTACAATTGCACAAATCAAAGGGGTTAGGGAGACATAATCTCCTGCATCAACACAAATGCTTTAAACAATAAGTAGTAATAGAAGACGCAGAAAGGAGACCATTGCTTACGTCTTCGTCTTCTTTGCTCTCCACAACTTCTTCTGAAGAGGGCTGCACGGGAAGGGTTTCCTCAGTGGATGATATCGGAATGACGGCCACTGCCTCACCAGGTGTATCCGACTCAGCAGCAGCGGCAGTGGAGGAGGAGGAAGATTCAGACTGGCAGAAGGCAGAACTTTCGCTCGCAATTACCAGGCCATCGGCGCCAGAGCTTTCCAGACTGGCGCTCATAGAGATGGTGTTGACAAAGGCCTCCAATTGACCCATAGGTCGCAACATCTGATCAATATGGGGGACACCCACAGGAGCACTGGCGGGTGCGGTCGCCACGGGACTAGACAGCTAAATACAAACAGAAAAAAAGATGCTATCAACGCAAAAAATTAATAAATTACTTCGTTTAATAGAGAATAGTCCAAAGTCAGTTGTCTGCCAAAGCAAAATCGGATATTTCGACAATGAGTCTGAAGACCCAATGTGGGCGCAAGCAAAGC